AACTTGAGGAAAGTTGAAAATGTAAATCGTGTTAAAATGTAACGTGCGTCAAATCAAAATGTAAATAGTGTTAATGGAAATGTAACTTGAATCATGTCAAATGTAACTTGTGTAGTATGGTGATATTGTATATACTTCCATATTAGACACGTTACATTTACATGAATGGAAAAGCGGCACAAACTAAAACTATTAGTGTGAAAAGCAATTCTTTTTACAAAATAAAATGAAATTATTACTACATACTATTCTCTCCATCCGACTAACAATGTATAGACATGGACTCGGTTCGGGCCGCCCGGCCTGGGAACCGGCCCGGCCCGGTGCTTCGGGCCCGAAACCGGTCTCTGACCCGGTTAGAAGGGAAAAGCGGGGCGGGTACGGTTCTGGCAAATGGCGAATCTGTCCGGCCGGGCTTGGTTCGGGCCAAAACCGCTCCAAACGGCCACTTTTTTTTTAATTTTTTTTAGCCAAACAGTTCTTTAGCCGTTGGCAAACGGTCCCAAATGGCTATATAGCCGTTGGGTGGGTCTTGGGGGGGGGGGGGTCTGGGCCTTTAGGGTGGGGGGTAAAAAAAAACCTATAATGATTAATGAGCATGAACAATACGGCAACGCGCCTCCTCCCCCGACACGAGCATCTTCATGTAAAGGAAAATCTATTTTTAAATATGCATTTGACAATCTTTTGAAAAAAACAAAAACAACTCTCACTACTGAACAAAGCACAGTTAATAAGATTGCTTTGTATTTAACATATGATGTTGATTTTGAAGAAAATGATGACTTTGACATTCTAAAGTGGTGGAAGTCAAAAGAGAGAATGTTCCCGATTTTAGCACGGATGGCTAAGCAAGTGCTATCAATGCGGTTTCAACAGTCGTCGTAGAAGAAGAATTTAGTTCGACCGGCAACGTCCTAACGAATTCTAGAACGAGATTTAACGCAAACTCCCTCGAGACGCTTGTATAGTTGTATGCTCCCACGATTGGTTGAAGGCTACAGGTAGAACTAAAGAACTTAGCATCACCTCCTCCCAACACTTTATGGATGAATCAACAACCAAGGGTGACTCTACCTATGTCGGAGATTTCGATTGATTAGTATTTTACAATTTATTATAAAATGTATTTCAGGTTTGAATTATTTTCTCAATTCTCAATTGTAAACTTGTAGTTCATATTTCAAATAAATATACGTTCATTTTTTTATATGTAACACTTCTCAAATTAATTAATTGGTTAGAACTTACGATTAATTTTCTAAAGGCTGATTATTATATATTATATTATTGTTGATTAGAAATTGTATTTCATATTGTAATTGATGGACAGTCTACCCGGGGGTATCTTATCCGAAGGGTTATTGCGGGAATAACTTAGAGAGAAGTCAAAGTAAATAGGAGGAGAGAGAGTCGATTTTATTAAATGAACTCAGCGTGTAAGAGAAAGATGTGGATCCTTTACAAGGAGAGATTGGCTGCTATTTATAGCAGCAATAAATGCGATAAGAGTACACGTGTCAGTAATCCAACGGCCGAGGGGTCACATCAGCCGGGTGGCACCGGCAGTGGTACGTTCACCGCATTGAATGCGGTTGGCGGATGTGACGTGGCATTAAATGCGGTGGTTGGCTGTCTCCAAAAGGAATCTTCGATGATTGAGCATGTTTGGCCGAAGGCTCCTGGTGTAGCCGAGGGCTCCATGTGACCAAGGATCCCTGTGTAGCCGAAGGCCTTGTGTGACCGAAGGCTTGGTTCAGCCGAAGGCTTCTCTGATGCCGAGGGCTTGATAATGCCGAAGGCTCAGGTTTTTCGCCGTTCTCTCCCAGTAGCTTCTTATGCCAGAGAAGGCTACCCTGTGAGTTTTGGAGCCTTCGGCCAAGGAGGCCGAAGGCACCCCAGTGTGTATTCCGGGCTACTTTGAGGCTTGGGCCGTTGCATTTGGGCCTGAGTTGTTCTCTGGGCTCAATGGACTTGTGTAGGAGAAGTAGGAGTCTATGGACCGGGGGTTCCTGGGCCATATACTCCATCAGTAATTTTTTTCTTAATTATCTAATGTAGTTCCTATTTCAAATAAATGCACTTTAACATTGTTTTTAATAAGCACGGCTTGGCCCAGCGGGTGGCCCGAACCGTGACCCGGGCGGGTGGCCCGGTCCGAACCGGCACCGGTCACAACACGGGCCGGTCTCGGGCCCACTTCCAGAACTCCAAGGCCCGGCCGGGCCTGGGCTTGGCCCGGGCCCAAACCGGCCCGAGTCCAATGTATAACTACGTACTATTTCTCTCCATCCGAGTTAGCACTTAGCAATAACCCATGGTAACATTGAAAATAGCTTGCATTACCGTTATCAATATAATAATACTTCACTTATTAACGGGTTGGTTCCTTGGTGGAGTAATAATTCAAACCAGAAATATTGAAATTGTAATTAGTATATTCATCTACTATTCATTTCTTCTTGTTCATATATAAACATTCAACATGTTTGCTATTAGGGGATCGAGGGCATGATTGGTTAATCACACTTCATCTATTCATCTCGGTTATTATGTATAATAACCTTAAATGTACTATAATATCGCTTAACCGGGTAACATTTAATCATAATATAGGTTAACCATTATTTGGTTAACCAAAAAACCATTTTAAAAAGTTAACTTTGAATGCGTTCCTCCCGAAACCTAAGCCAATGTTAAAATAGCGAACAAGTACCAAAAATTTCAAGATCCAGGAAACAGCTAAACCGCTTGGCTTATACGTACTCCAGATTCCAGAATAAACTGTTGTATTTGTTCAATGTTAAAATAGCTTTCACGATCCAGGAAAGGGTTAAACTGCTACTGTTCAATTCTCTTCTCAACAATACATAAATAAGCCGCACTTATTTGTAACTTTTGTACATAAAATAATGGAGTGTTTTGCAAATATATAAAATTTAATACGTAGTACTCGTAGTAGGTTATTTTCCAATTGTTGTTGTTTTCAATTTAGAATATACAGAGTATGTATTAATGAATAATGAGTAAGATGATCAAGTATGGATGTTTTTACTTGGACTGTAATTTGCTGGTCTGGTCTGGTGTGGTTTCTTTGTGTTTTTATAACTATCCAAGGGAGTGTTTGCAATTGCTTCAACTTTAAAAAAGTGATTTTTAAAGTGATTTTGGGAAAAGTGATTAATAGTAAAAATTGGTAATGTTTGAGAAAAAAGTGATTCTGAAAAAGTAAAAGTTGGTAGTGTTTGGTAAAATAAGTACTTTTTGTGTAATAGAAAAAAGTGAAAAGCAGTTTAAGGGTTTGTTTGCAATCAATTAAAAAAAGTGATTTTGGTTTTTTTTAAAGAAAAAAGCACTTATTTTCCCAAACACTGTCAACTTTTACTTCCTCGGTTTTCGTGTAGAATCTACTTTTTACTTTTTGGGAAAATTGTCAAATAAGTCCACATACTTTTACTAAAAAGTCAATTAAGTCCACATACTTTCTATTGAATCAATTAAGTCCATAAAGTGTCAAATTTTAACCAAATCAACCTTTCAACCGGTAATCAATAGGTTTTCCGGTTAGATCATCCACGTGGCTTTTTTTCTCATTGTTTTTTACTTTTTTACCTTTTCTTTTAATTCATTTTTCACTTCCCCCTATTTTTTTCTCTTTCCTTGGTTCCCTCGTCTACTGCAATTCTAGCAGTCCAGGAGTTTGGCTTTCCTTAGTCCTTCAATCCCCTCCCTGGCGGATCCACCAGTCTATGGGGCTGGGGCGGTGGTGGCTGTGGGGGTAGGGGTGGCGGAGGGAGAAGCCACGGAGGTAGGGGCGCCGGAGGAGAGGATGCGGAGGTGGTGGTGATGGAGGTTGGGGCAGTTGCAGGTCGCTCCAATGGAGGAGACGAAGGCGGAAGCTGTGGAGGTGGTTGTCGGGACGGTCGGGTGCGGCATATACGGAGGTCGGGGCGGTTGGAGGTCGCTGCAGTGGACGAGACGGAGGTGGAAGCTGAGTGGTTGTTGGAGGGGCCGGTACGGAGTTAGAAGCGGCGGAGATGGAGGTCACGTGCGGAGAAGGTGGCTACAAAGGCGCACGGCGGAGATGGAGATCGTGGTGGTGACCGGTTTGGAGGGTGGGGCGGCAGAAATGGAGGAAATGGAAGAATGGGACCACATGTGGCGGTGGGGGCTGAAACGTACAAGAATGCAGGGAGTGGAGCGTGGAGACGGAGGAATGAAAGCAGAGAAAGGCCGGTAAAGGAGTGGAAGAGAAGGGAGAAACAAGAAAGAGAAAAAAGGAAGAAAAGAAAAAAAAGAGAAAAACGAAAAGGAAATATAAAAAATAGGAAAACAGTAAAAAAAATGCCACCTGCACGATCAATGTTGGCTAGTAACCGGAAAACCGGTCCATTACCGGGACGATTTGATGATTTTTTAATACTTGATGGACTTAATTGATCCAATAGAAAGTATGTGAACTCAATTGACTTTTTGGTAATAGTAGATGGACTTATTTGATAGTTTACTTTTTCTATTACACAAAAAGCATTTATTTTACCAAACACTATCAACTTTTACTACTAATCACTTTTTCTCAAAAAGTGCTTTTATTTAAGCACAAGTGGTTGCAAACAGAGCCTAAAGCACCCTTCCACATGCTTCCAGCTTTTAGCTTTTAAGTGATTAATTTAAGCATAAGTTGTCGTTTGAAAACACTCCTTTTAGCTTTTTTTAAGCCAAAAGCTAAAAAGCGCTTTTTTAAGCAACTGCAAACACTTCTCAAGTCTGGTCTGGTCTGATCTGGTCTGGTCTGGGGCAGATTACAGTCCAAGTAAAAACATCCTATATATGATGTATACTAGCGCAGTAACGCGCGTTGCGCGATATCCGTGCCCAATGCATGAAAACAAGCCGTAAAGTGGGGAAAACATGTTAAAACAAAATGAGCAATCAACCACCTAAAAGTGAAAAGCTTGAAATGGGGGATGCCAATTTAAAGTAGAAAGAGGAAACAACCATTCCACCATACAAGAGGCTGTTTTATACTCCAGTTAGCTAGTTTGAACTAATCTAATGTTTTGACCTAGAATGTATACACCTGTATCAGAAAGTTTTCTGAGAAACTAAGCCGTTTTAAAGACAGACTAAATCTGCTTTAACCTAGAAATTATACAGTTGCTTGAAAAGGTTTTCCAAGAAAAGAAGTTGTTCTACATACAGACTAAATATGTTTTGACCGAGAAAGTATGCATATATTTCAAAAATCAGAAAAACAAAACAGAAAATCAGCTGGTTACAGTCTAAATAGTTCAATTGGGTGTTGATTATGCATAAACAACATTACCCGATTATAGTCCTCAAGTCAGTCCTCTACTTCGCAAGCAAACATCCAATTATCAACCTTATCCAATATTTCTTTTCTGCTCAGGGCCTCTTCTTTAGCTCCTATAATCTGGTTGTCCATATTAGATCCATAGGTTCAACCTCGGGGTTTTCCAACAAAATGAAAATTAGTATTCTACCTAACGAAGTATATTAGAAAACGAGAACCAGTTAGGTAAACATACACTAAAATAGAAGAGTAAGAGTAGTCTAACTCGGGCTTCACTCTCATACACGAGACCCATATTCAGGGTGATAAACAGGGGAAATAAAGTATTATTTTTACGCAGGATGCTGATCTGAAACCAGAAAATAAACATACCACTAAAGAGTGGCTAGCACTTTGGTAACAAACCACATTTCCAACACCAGATTTCACATTCAAACTTATCTCTTCTTTTTTTTCCTTTTTTCCAACAGGGTTGACATTTATAGGAAGGCTGAAAGGTATAGCCAGACAAAACTGACCATCTTGATACGAGACTTTTTGGGACCAACGAGCTTCAACAGATAAAACATATCCTCCAGCAACCTTAAATATTCAAAACAAACAATATTTGTAGAAATGAGATAATTAACGCATCAATATTTGGTTAAAATTCCTTATAGGTGTGAAGTTTGGTTAAAATTCAAGGACAACAAAGAATGTCACATGGGAGAAATTAGACCGCACACGTGCTAGACTATGGTTAAAATTCAAGGACCACAAAGAATGTCACATGGGAGATATTAGACCGCGCACGTGCTAGACTACTTTGGTGAATAAAATTCAATATTGACTAATAATCATACAATGCTCAACATACTAATACTAAAGCATTCACTCAAATAAATAACACGGGGAAAAGATATGCCTGTAAGCCATGTAGATCTCTGAGCAACATATGTTGAATCAACAAACTAATTAATCCAAGTAGAATACCAACAATCCTTATCAGCAACCAATTCAGATACATAAACCTAGGCTTATATATCACATCTCACCTCTCCATCAGCGAAATGCCACACAACATTGAAGCCTCTGGTACTCGGCAAATCTAAGTGGAAGAGTGGACTGTAAATGTAAGAAATAAGAGTGGACTGCAAATGTAAGAAATAATATACGTTTGGATAGGGTAAAAACAAATACGAGTATCAATGGTACACCAGAGTGGACTAAAAAGTCATTTTTCAAATCCATGGAAAATGCCTGGAAAGGTTTAAACCCTAACCCCACAAGATCCAGGGAGAAAAGGAATAACAGCGGTAATCTAAATTCAGGACCGTAAGAATGGAAAGAAATATACATCAGCACAGTAGGTGCTTGAATTCTAAACATTTGTTACATGTATAGAGGGTCTAAAACGGAAAGACAATGGAAAATGGGTGGAACTACCTGCAAGCTTCCTCCATCTGACAAAATTAAACCAGCAGCCTTCGCTTTCCTCAACTTCGGAAGAACTTCAGAGATATAAAAGGTAGGAGGAGTAGTAAGCCTAGGCTCAAAAGTTGGGAATCCTTTCCTTTTCTTTGCCTTCTTTAAGGTTGGTGGCAGATCCTTCACGATGATCACGTCATTTCTCAAGCTTGCTATGGACCTTTCCTCATCATACAGATATGAAAAACTACTAAATTTTGAACTGAAAAATTTTCAATTATAACGTAAGACTAAGAGAACAAATAAAAACAAGTTAATGTTCTTATATCTGTATCAATTATCAAAGTATCAAGTCAAAACAAACCTGATGCCTTTTGACTGAGTACTAACTTGGATCTCTGGGATAACGAGGGTCGCATTCAAAAGCCTAGCTATGGTGACCAGATCACAGATCTGAGCAAATCATCAACATGTCACAGCCTAAAAGTTGTAGGGAATGAAAGCGTTAAAATACCTTCTACAAGTAAATATGAGCATACCGAGTTCCCAATCTTCTCGAAAGAACAAAAAATCTTGGCATAAATGAAGCCACTGTTTTTCTCTAATGGAACTGCAAGAATGGAAAGCAAATTCTGATGAAGCAAGAGAGGGAGAAGATAAGAACTTTCAGGTATCAGAATAGAATTTTCACAAATGTCAAAACTAAATAAAAGTTAGAAAGAAAAACATGAAAACAGAATCTCCACTTGTTAAGATGATAATTTAGCCCAAATGAATGTCCTTACGAGACCACTGCACCAATTGATGCCTAGAAGAAGGAAATTCTAATATCTTATAATTCAATTTTCTCTCATTGACTTGTATTGGTGGAGAATGTGAAAGCTTCAGCCATATCAAGTACTCTGTATTAATGATAAATATTATGAAGAGAGATGAATGAGACATCTGAGAGAATGAGAGAGATCCAAAAATGCAGACATGCATTGTATGCTAAAAATTGTATCTGAAAGTGATCTTTCATACTAACTTACTAAGAGCTCAGGTATTATACAACAGTGATATAAATTATAGCTTAGCCTTGTACCTGAGGCAGAAAAGAGAAAAACATAAATGTTGACGGGAAGGGATGATCGATTACAGCTGTGGAAAATAACAATTTAGTGAAATTTGGGAAATCATTCTGTTCATATAGACTTTGCACACATAGATCTTTATAAATGTTCTCCAACTCTGTTTGTCTTAAGTACACCTGAATGAGTTATATTTTTTATGAGTTATCTTTTCTTTTCCTTCGTTAACATTATGCACTGAAAGGGTTCTACAATAACAGTCTGCGGGCATTCTGAAAAGGTGAACTTCTACGCATACTATAGTTTCAAATAAACATCAGAAAGTGCATGGAACTTGCAAGTGTAAAATAAGCTTTAAAAGAGAAAACAAAATTAATCAGAATGGCAGGTGCAAGCAAACCAATGTGAGAGTGCGGCTGAAGAAGAAAAGGCAGCTTTAAACATATTTGGAAGAAGACATTCTTCAGTTTTGCCTCCCCAACTGCATTGCAGAGATCAAAGCAATATCAGCAGTGCTTCTTCATCAATGATTAGCAAACTAAATACCCACATATTATGTATTCTAATACCCATATATTATTTATTCTAAATACCCATTTCAATTCAAATAAATTTATTCTAGTTGTTTCCTTTTATTCTGCTCTCCTTATTCCAGTTGTTTCCATGTATTTAGTCTTCCTTATTTTAGACAGTCTCTTATTGATGAGTCAATAACAAGTTTATATATGTTTCCTAATATTTTTTTAGGAATCTTATTTTTTGCCTATATAAGGCTTATTAGTTTAAAGGTAGTATTAAGTTTGGAATAATTGATCTCTTGATTTGCTAGTGGAACCAGGGATCACCATGTCATAGACACGGACACCTATGAAGGCCAATGATAGATAATAAAAGCACCATAGGACACCTGCGCACAGAAAATTTTTGAACAAGTTTTTTGAGTTTATGCCTAGTTAACCCAAAGCTCTTTAGGGCCGCATAATCCTCAACCTATTCCCATCACCACAGCTACACAAGCTCTTTTTTAGTTCCTTCTTAATATTTCTTTTACTGGAATCCATGTGATCCAAAACACTGGAAGCTAAAATAGGACAAATAAACAAACAGAATGGAAGAGGCCAGGTACATCAGTTTTGAAGTTTTCAATCTCAAAACATGTTTGTTGAATAAACGTTATGGATATGAGAGAACTCACATTGGTAAGAACAGCACATAATAGCCCAAAAGGTTATACAGAACTTTCACAATCTCCTTGGGGCTAAAAAATACAATAATAGTTAGCACTCCATTCTTTAATATAGTCAAATGCACAACTCTAACTTTGAATAATATGGCATGTGAGAATAGCTCATGTAATATGACAGTAAAAATATGTACAGACTACTGAACTTGAATCAATTTCCTCAATACCTTGAAGAAGAATCTCTGAGTCTAATTTTTAACCCCCTATTCTTCCAATTTTCATAATAGAGTAGTTCTAGCTTCAATTTTACTTGAACGACGAACTTCAATTTTACGCTGCTAAGCTCCTGCATTACAAAACGACAAAACGAATCAAAAAGTTATCTGATCAATTTAATATGTTCCTAACTCAATGAATAAAAAAAATGGTATGCAATGTTTTAATTTTCAATAGTTAACCAAACAGCTCAAGTTGAAATCAATTAAATGTATACCTATACAAATGAGTAGCAATGGACCAGATTGGCTAAAGTGACCTAAGGTGTAATTACTACACTTTTAATTTTGAGTGATTGAACTATGAAGTGAAGAGAGGTACTTGAAAAAAGGCTTCAAATAAAAACCGAACCAATTACCTTTCAACAAAATTTTATGCAAAACACCCAATTGAGTATCAAATCCGTCTTTAATTCTTCACCTTGTTCTTCCAGTTTTCATAATGGAGTAGTTCCAGCTTCTTATCAAATCGGCTTCTTCTACTTTAAAGACGAACTTCAATTTTATGCTACTAAGCCCCTGCATTATACAACGACAAAACTAATCAACATGTTATCTAATCAATTTAATATATTCCTTACTCAATGAATAAACAAAAAATGGTATGCTCTGTTTTTCAATTGTTAACCAAATAGCTCTTTTATGCACTGTTATGTTTCAATACACTTAGTGACATGTCACTTAGTGTAGTGATAATCAATTGTTGTCTTTTGTCTAGTCTTCTATCCACCAAATCAAACTTTTTACTCAACATTGGACATTGGCAAAGCTGCGAAATTCCATATTTACTGAGTCATGTCACTTATTGATAGAAGAACAGCTTATACCTAAAAAAATTAGAGTTCCAGACCTCGAATTCAACTTATGAAATGGCCTTTACCTGTTAATCTCAAGATGAATGTGGACGCATCATTTTACTCAGATGGATCGATTGGAGGTGTTATTCTCGACTCGATGCCTCGATGACAGGTGACCTATTATGGCACTTTGTTTTCCTATTTCGGCAAAATCGGGTACTGAGACTTTGAGGTTCTGTGGGCGGTTTACCATGGATACCGAGACTTTGAGGTGGAATATGACTCCTCATCTGCTATTAGAGCTATTGATGACTTTCACCTTGTGGGACAATGGAAGAAGATGGCGGAAAGTTTAAGGGATTGGTCTGGTGAGTTCGGGATAAACTTCAGAGTGAAGCCCGACTTGTGAACTCCTAGAGCGAGAAAAACATGGCGAATTGGCGGACGACCAAAAGCTAGTGGCTTTGGCAGAAGACATCGGAACCCTAGCGAGCAAAAATGAGAAGCACGGGTTAGCTGGAGATGAGCCCTAGCCCTGATCTCGTCGAGCAAAATGAGAAGCAGCAATCTGGAAAATGAATCTGGCAAGCATCGTCACTCACTATATTGGGGGAGAGCGGAAAACGGCGTTAACGAAATCGGACTGTTCACACGGTAAAAGAGCCATGCTAACCCCCTCTCCCACTTAACATTTTTAGTAGATATCCATCAGTTTCATTTTTCATTTGAGATTCTAGCTTCTCTTCACAACCAAGTAGGGGTGGAAATAGGCCAGCCGGCCTGTCAGGGGCCTGTGGCCTGGCCTGTTAAAGGCCTGGCCTGGCCTGGCCTCTTTAGTAATCAAGCTAGGCTTGGGCTTTTCTAAAAGCCCGTTTATTTAAATAGGCCAGGCCTAGCCCAACTCTAAAGCCTTTTTACCTTAACAGGCCGGCCTATTTATGTGTGTGTGTGTGTGTATTTAGTTATATTTATATTTATTTGTATTATTTATATTTATATTTATATTGGTATACTCAACTATATCCAAATCAGTATAATAGTATTTTTAGGGAGTGTGTATTATAAATTAGAATAGACTGCTTTTTTAAACATATATAAAGTGTGTTAATAGTTTATTAAGGTAATTGAAATTCAAAGTTTTTTAAGAATCAAAGTACATAGAAATTTATAAACTACATAATAATACTCCATAATAATGTATTATTAGACATCCAAAGCAAAACTAACGTATTATTAGACTTTTTAGTGAATATTTGGGGTAATAAATTTTATACCGGATTAAAAGGATTTTTCACTTTTCATTTTGTATTTTTTTTGAAATTTTATTTTTTTCCTTAACAGGCCCGGTAAACAGGCTTCAGGCCAGGCCAGACTTTTAAACAGGCCAGGCCCAGGCCGAAAAAACAGGCCTTTAACAGGTAACAGGCCAGGCTCAGGCCTATATTTTCTAAAACAGGCCTGGCCTGTTTAGGCGAAAGCCTGGCCTGGCCTGGCCTGTTTCCACCCCTACAACCAAGAATGAATGTCTTAGCTAGTTTGATACAGTAAGTATTTATCTATTCCTTTTCATTCAGTCATTCGAGCTTCTTCTTTTCACAATCAAGAATTCTTACATTTGAAAGTAAGATTTAAATTTGGATATCAATTAACCGGCATAGTTTTATTTGAAAACCGTAACCGTACCGTGTACCGTTATTTCTTTCGGCTGGTTAATTGTACCGCGAGTTTTTAAAAACACGCTATGATTAACCATAAAAACACCGGTTTTGCGTATAATTTGGAAATAAACTACAGCTAATCAAATAATGAGCTTTTAGATTACATGTAAGAGGATCACCTCTTTAAATTTGGATACAATCAAATTTTAATGTGTAAACTAAGATCCTGTTTCGTTATCAAATGAAGGAATTGGTTGAATCTGATGAATTATGATAAATTATATCTGAAAAAATTAATTAAAGGGGAATTTTCGTAGATAAGAGTAAACGATATGTTTTGAAATTCTGATGTGTTTTTCTTCCCAAAATTAAATAAAGGAAAAAATTATACTCCCTTCGTCCCTGAAACAAGTTCTCCCTTTCCTTTTTTGGGCAGTCTTTGAATTAAGTTCCTCTTTCCTTATTTGGCAAACTATCTACATCAAAACAGTGTCAAACAGTGCCAAATAGTGCAAAACAATGTCAAACAGTGTCTAAACGGTGTCCAAACAGTGTCAACATTAAAATTTACCCCCCTGTAAATTTATTTCCTTGATATGTGTGAAAAGCAATGGAAAACTTGTTTTGGGGACAGGGTAGTATGAATGAAGTTAAAACGTTCTCAAAACCAACCAGTTCCATTCAAATGGTTTTTAATAGTTTTCTTACATTTCAATCTTATAAAATTCGAAATCAAGAGTTCAATATTTAATTTTCAAAATTGACTAACTAATGTTCAAAATATAGATTGCCAAACAAGCCTAAACTCTTTAGATGAAATTAGATACATCTATTGGTTCAGCCTCATGATAAGTATAATTAGTTTGGTTGGTTGAGTGTTTGGGAGGTTACAGTTCATCGTGTGATGTCTTGTCGAGTTAGAGCGTGAGAGCCCCTTGATGTTAGAGATTCAATTTTTTGGAACATAATACTCCCTCTGTCCCATAGAGAGGTTCTCGTTACGTTTTGTGATGCTTGAGTGACGATAAATCAACGTAATCCGTGTTTACACTCTAATTATTTTTAGTAAATAAAATTTACAAATTCAAAAACTACATGAAAACAACTACAGAACCTGATAAAAAATGTAAATTTGATAAATAAAAAAATTTATACTCCGTATATAAAACAAAAGATTAAAAATGATTTAAGCAGAGTATTTGAATAGTAGTATGTTGTAAACATGAACCTTTGAATAATAGGGACGAAATAGGGCAAGTAGGGACGTAGCTGGGGCAAGATGTTGACACGGCAACATCAAAGTAGTTAGCATTGCCTTCCCAACTACGGAGTACTTCAGTTCTCATGGTCAAATGTTCTAGTTTACATCATCAGGGACAGGTTAGATTGAAAAAGATTGATGAACACAAAATTTGTACACTTGTCTGTGAGGCTTAGACAAGTGTACACAATTTGCGTACAAATTTTGTGTACACCTAGCTCTACCTGGTTAGATTTCCCTTGATCTTTCAAGAAAATTATAAAAAGAAATAGAGCCCGTTTGGTAGCACCAAAATCGGCTGTTTTGGCTGATTCTGCTGAAATTTATGATATTTGGCTGGAGTGGCTGTTTTGGCTGATTCTGCTGATTTAAGAAAAAAATATTTTAAAAATATATTTTATTAATAAATTAAAGAAAAAATTATATGTAAAAATAGCTAAAATGGTCCTCTACAGTAACTTCAGCCAATACAGCCAGAAAAGTAACTCCAACCTTACTTTTTCGGCTTATTACACAGTTCAGCGCGCGAAAGTAAAAGTTACGTGTTTGGTGAAAAAGCTGGCTGATAAGCCTGATAAGCCGAAAACAGAGTTCTCCAAACGGGCTCATAATCCTTGTATTATATGTTACCCCGTATATGATTTGGCACGTCACAGTCTATATCTTTTTGAAAACCAAAATTGTTTCATTCTCAAATACGAGTGCTATTACAGGAAACCTACATTGGAATATGAATGCTCCATATATACTATGATCACTTTTATCAAAGAGATCGATGTTGCTAATGATCTTATATGTTGATTTGTTATTTCAACCGTGCTACTTGTGCCCAAGTGTAATTGTCTGTAAACAGACAATTGATTTTAATTTAGTAACAGGATTACAAAAATGTTTGTGACTCTGACTCCCAAAAAATGAATTATATGTACACAAACAATTCGGAGTTTCAGGCGCTTTCTTCTACTAAAGTTAAAATTAATTGTTTATGTACAGACAATTACACTTAAGCGTGTAAATCAACTTGTACAAATAACATTTTTCTTATTATTTTATGATTTTTTTTAATATCTCACATCAGCCTGAAATGAAGATGTACGATGATAGATACTATACAAACATAATGTTGCCAATATTTCAAATAACTGATTTCCAAAAACAAGGATACGAAATTTTCCTCTTTCACTCATCATATAAGTCAGAAATGACGACTCACTCGATCAATATGATCTGCATTCGATCGGGAATGAGATCAGGATTAGATTACTTGTGACATTATTTAATTAAAATAAAATAAAATTTCTTATGAATTTCACATGTGGATCAAATGGAGGGTTCACTAGATATATAAACGACGTAGGCTAGCTCCCCGTCATAAAAGAATCATGTAATTATGTAAAGCACAAATAGCTAGAGCAACAAGTTCAACTAATTAGAATGATACGTAGTATATTCGTATACTCCCTCCATATTTAAAAAATTCATACGTTAGGTTATGACACATGTTTTAAAGGAGAATATATAGTATGAGTAATGATCGAATAGTATAGAAAAAGTAGAAAATAATGTGAAAAAGTAGGAAAAAGAAGATAAACGTATATATAATTGAGTTTTTAAAGGAAAAACTTACCAAAAAAATGTAGGAAACATTTAGATAATACAGACCAAAACAAAAAGTGTAAGAAACTTTTAAATAGGAAGGGGTATAATATACATGTCCTTGAACTAATATTACTTATGGTTGTTTCCTTGGCCTATCTAACATAATCTGCACTTTTTTTTTAATGAAAGCCATATGTGGAATCAATTCAATCTTTATCACACATTCATCATTTTTATTAGGGCTGGGAAAAAACTCCCAACTCCCGACTCCCGATCCCGATCCCGAGAATCCCGATCCCGATAATCCCGATCCCAACAATCCCGATCCCGACAATCCCGATCCCGACAATCCCGATCCCGACAATCCCGATCCCGACTAAGTCGGGACGGGACCGAGATTTTTTTTTTTAAAAAGTCGGGATCGGGAAAATCCAGACATCATATCCCGACACTATATATATATTATATATAGAAATATATATATATATATATATATATATATATATATATATATATCTATATACACATGTATATAATTATATATGAATATATAAAAATGAATATAAATTTATAAAAAATGAATATGTATCTAAATATTTGCATA